GTTTGAGTGGTATGTCATGCGGAATGTCGCGTCATTTATAAAACGTCCACCCAACTGACCTGCTGGATATGAACTTTATATTGATATATTCTAAAGATCCATTATAATATCTAATAGCGATTGAAATGTATCGATGTTTATCACACACCCGTGCCGATTTGGCGACTCCGTAAATATGGTATTGCACGGCCGTGCATATATTTTGACGTGACGTCATTAGCGTTATACAAACATAACGTAAAGACGCGCTAAATGTTAGCGTTATACTATAGGCGCGTCATTGAAAAATGACTCTTATTTCACTTTAAACGGTCTTTAATTTAGGTATGTGATAAATAGAATATTAAATTCGTGTAAGTTCATTACTGAATTTATTGAACTCGTTGAATAAAATAATATTATGCTCGCCAGAGGCTCGCATAATATAATTTTATTCAACTCGTGCAATAAATTCAGTATTGAACTTACACTCATTTAATATCCTCTATTTAAGATACTGAACAAAATGAACATATAAGGGTATTTCGATTAGGTGTTATTCGTTTATTCGTCTGGCTGTTAGACAGTGTTTGTCTCCGTCTATTGGTGAATTGTGTTTCTTTCGAAAGCTCATTTTCTTTTCATATTTTCATTTGGAAAATCACATCATTTATTTTCTTCTTATTTTCATTTGGCAAAGATTGGGGAAAAAATTTCATCCATTTAATGCATGAAGTTACATCCATTACAACTTCCGTGCCATGCTTGCGTGTGTTTGGCACAAAAACAAGTTATTTCTGTTGGAAACTAGATCAATTTTTGGACTTTTTGAAAAGCTAATAATTTGGATAATATATGTATATATCTATCTATATATACCACATGTGTTTTGCTAATTTTGCCAGCAAAAAAGAGATACAAACAAAGAACGACTAGCGCATACCGGTCTACCAGGTTAAAATATCCTAAATTTTAAGGGGAGGAAACTGTTATGAGACAAAAGAAAATACCAAAGAGAGTTGTCTTTCTTTAATAATCGAAACAGCTGTTCGTGCATGTACCGATAAAGGAGACACAATCTAGACAACTATTAATACAGTTTACAGTTTTAGAGCAAAGTGCCAAGGGTTCATAAATTATTCCATTCCAGGAGAAACAATTACTTAAAAGTTTTTTTGTTTTGTTTTTTTGTTCAAGATGTAAAGCACCATTACAATGGAAGTCAACGAAAGATATATTAGCACGGCGGTTGATGCGAACCGTTGCATGACTGGTTGGCAAAGAGTGATACTTTTTCATTGACTCTTTGCAGGGGATCGAACGTATAGAAATTCGTTTTTAAGCCAGGTGAAATGGTACGATACGAAGTAATGGCGAATTTAGAATGTAAACACACGTCAAAGTGATTTGCTATATAAATTGCACATTTTTTGAGGATCATGTGCGGCTCTGACCTTTACATACTTCCTCGAAATAATAGAAGTTTGGATTCATTAGTGGAAAAATTATTGAAAGTAAATTACTGATTTTGTGTCGGTGAAAAAGTCATAAGATCAAAGCCCATATCATAAATGTTAATTGCTATTTGTACCTATGTAGATACTCATTATTGAGTTGCATAGCAAAGACTTTTGTGCAAAGATATAAATTGGCGTATTGTTGTCCACAAATTTATGTGTACGAAGAGTGTTGGTACGATAAGATAACTGTACGCTACAAAAGGTTCGATAAGTTTGACTGTGTTAATAACTACTTAAAATTATATACCATAAATAATCTTCTTTAATTGTCTTGGGAACTAGCTTTAAATTTGTCAGTGCTTTTACTGTTTCTTTTTTTGTGTGACTTGCTTATACATGTAAATACTCACTAGGTTATGTTACCTTATTTTATTTCAAGATTAATCTCCCCTTTAATCTCAGATTATTGTGATAAGTTTTTGTATTCACTCTGTAGATTTTCGCTCCTTTGGTATTTATAACTGACAAAAATTATAAAAGTACTACAGTACAGTACAGTACAGTACAGTACAGTACAGTACAGTACAGTACAGTACTACCATGCAGTTTATAAAAGTGCCAAACAGAAACTTCATTTAAATTTTTTCTTCACTTGCATTGCTTATGTCTGACTCTTGATATTTTCTTTTGAATGCTATGACCATACCCATTTAACTATGATTAATTGTTCATTCAATGAAACTATTTTCAACATACCTGCAATTAATTGCCAATACAATGAGAACAAAAACTATCGTAAGGAACCAAAATTGTTGCGTACATTTAGTTTATCGAACCAACTATCATGCGTACTGTAATAAATACGGAAATACTGTAGATATATGCGAAATAAATAGTTTAAATTATTCGTGCATATAGTTTTGCTATTAATAGTAAACATGTTGGTGCTAAACTAATCAAATATCTGTTCCAATAAATGTGTTTTTGTTTTCTTTTTATAAGTATGTCAGGTTGCCGGTGGCATTTGAAGTAACAAATAACTTAATAACTTTTTCCTTACAATGAAATACATATTGTTTTTTTACTGTCATATACAATTATATTTTCTGCTCCTCGTGCACTACTGCAGTATATCATTCAAGCAAAAATTACAACATAAAACAAATATTTAAAACTAACAGGCTCTTACCCACGTTATTTGTCACTTTCCCTCGTCCCTCCAGCCATTAAATTGGCCCGTATGCACTATTTTCACATCGCTTTAAAAAAAGGTATCCGAACCTTTACCACGTTCGCCCCATTTTACCCAAAGAAATTTTTTAAAAGATAAAGTGCAATAAAATAGTCCCAATAACCACAGTCGGGGAGAACGCTAACTTCATTCCACAAAGTCATCTCTGTTTCAAAAATAGGCATTATAAGGTGGGATATTTAAAAGTTAAATTTTCACTTTGGGGCACGGTCTTTAAAAAATTAAATTTGGCTCTATTTTAAAATTTTGCTGCCCCGCAAAACTTTCTAAAAATTTTAAAAATATGTTTGTTTGGCTACATTTAAAGTTTTCATGTATGTTTTTTTTCATTTTATAAACACCATATGAAAAGATTGCCATTTTTTTATTTCCTATTTTAACCCCCCAATTTGTCATAATTTTTTTCTTTTAAAAGGAAAGTCATGTTTCCCCCTGTTTTATTTTCTATGAAAAGGTATGTGATTTTTTTTCATTTATTTAACCCGGGAAAGCCATGTTTAATATTATTAACGGAAAAAGGTGTATGTTTATATCTATTAACGGAATGATTTACTTTTTGGGAAAGGGATTTCCAAAAGTTGAAATTTTTTATGAGGGAGAAAAGTTTTGTCCAGTGTGGGATTTTTATGAAAGGTAAACCCAAATTTTTTAATTTTTTATGAAAGAAAGGGGCATGGTTTTATTTAAACTAAAGGAATTTTCAAAAGGTCATTTTGTGAGAAAAAAAGAATTCAAAGTTCAAAGTATTTTAATGAACCGGGAATTGGGCAAAAGTTTTATTTAAAAAAACGCCATGGAAAAAAACCCGGAAAGCCCTGTTTTAAATTTCCATTTAAGAAGAAATTTGTGTTTTAAAATTTTAAAGAAACGGAAGCAAAGTCCCTATCAGGTATTTTCATGCCCCATCAATGAACGAAAAATCATGTTCTTTTTATGAATGGTTTTTCCAAAGTTCATAAAATTTTTAATAATATTTTTCATGTCTATAAAGGGAATATCGTTTTAATCTATTACGTAGCCATGTCCATATTTGTAAAAAAAATCATGTCCATATCTGTGTAATTTAGAGAAAATTGTGACTCTACACGTACATATCAGGCAATGTCTGCTGATCAAAATTTAAGAAGATTTTTTGAAATTTTCACCGAGAAAACAGATTAGAAAGCTTTGACATATTGCGATGGATCAATTATATTCATACACACACGTAGGTTTTGTAACTCTTCCCGACTCTTCTTCACAATGTAACACCAGTTCTTTCCCTTGATGAAAAAAAATATCGTCACAGCTCAGTTCACCGGAAGCTATTAAAATGCTATTATTTAGAGTACTCGTGCGTTATGAATTTTTAGTGAAAACATGCTTGATAGATGTAGCCTTCTTTTAGCTTTTTTCTCTCTTTTTTTTGTGCAAAAAAATAAAGCAAAACAGAAAAACCGCGTAGTCATAAAATGGCGGAACGCGAGCATGAAAATAAATGACTCTAGATCTAGTATAAAACAAGAGCAGTTTACATATCTGTTGCATATTATAATAATAAGACAACAGTCTTCTTTCGCATTCTGTTGAATTTACAGTCAATTTTAAGTCAAATTCAAAATAAGCATTTATTTATTAGACGCAACATTGTACGTAACGCTAAAACGTTTGTAGGGCCAGGTTAGCTTAGAACGCGTCAAGAAATGTTAGAAAATATAAAGCAGGATACATTATCTATAGTACGTCTGTTTATGTAAAATAATTTTGTCTGCTGTAGAAGCTGTTGTCAATGTTTTATAGTTGTACAATGTAAACGGACAGATCCAGAATTAGCAAATTATATCCTGTCTTTTACACTACCATATATAATGTATTCATTTTTTTTAATATATCTTATTTCATTTCATTTACTTATCTATTTATTTATTCCTTTTTTTAATAAAACATATATGTTGAATTATTTATCTCCCATGGTTTGTAATATACTGACTATGCTTTATATAAACAAGTAATTTCTCTTGATCATGTTCATCACCTGAAACTGAAAGAATCACTTATTTTTCTTCATTAATATATAAAACGTTAAAAAATGACACTGTTTCGTACGCATCTGTGTCTACAGTGATTTATTTTTCATAGTGAAATAAATGAATTTTACGTTACCATGTACAACATTATGATTAATATTTCTATTTCAAATGACCTCATTTATGATTTAATATTCTAGACATTTCACATATTCGCGTGCGATATTGGACAGGTGGTATGCTATAATACTTATCTAATTAATTATGCAAGATAGTAAAGTCACGTGACACTGGTAAACCAATAGAAATATAGCAAGCTGTCGAGTTATTGATCATTTCCCTCTAGCGACGGACTGTGCATTATTGGGAATAGACGGCTCTCATTTTGTTTTACTTTTTTCATTATTATTATCTAAAATAAAAGGAATTAATACACAAAAAACACGTAAGTTCATTCAAATTTTATAAGGATAGCACTTGTATATTTATGAAATATATCAAATAATAAATTCGTCATACATTTTTCCTGAAGAGAAAAAATACCTAGCGACCTCAGTATTATTTTTTTCGCGTATCACTTTACTTCAATCAATATTTTGTCAGGTAATTCCTGCAATAAGATGCGGAATTATTGTCCTCACATGTGCTGAACTGAAGTATAAAAATACTAAACTGCTATAACAGAACTACTGTAATCTTTGTAAAAAAAAAACACGATGAAAATTTTCTGTTTCTGTGCCCGCAAATTAAATTTAAGAAATTTGAGAAGTTTAATGCGAATAAAATATTTATATTTTTACTTAAAAAATCACATTAACAGTACAGCCACTAAAAGCTTATTATAATATGTCTGACAAAAAAGCTCTAGTTCAGTCCCAGGCTCACAAACTGGGGTATGTCTTCATAAAGCGTGCGCAAAATAAGATATTTTTCACAAATTTAAGTTTTTTTCTTGCTGTTGCCTTTTTGTTTATGTTTTTATTATGTAAACAATAAGATTTCATTAACGTATGATGATTACATTGATCTAAAGACCGTTTTTCTCTTCGACGCCATTTTATATTTTGTTTCGCAAGGTCAATGACGATATAAACTTATTGCTTAAGTCTATGTATTTGTTCAAATGCGTAACAGTTTAGGTATTTTATACATTTAGTTCATGATACATTGTTCGAATGGTTCTTTTCTTCTTCTTTTTTCATACAACTGTTTTTTGCTCTGTTAATGAAACAGCGTGCCATTGTTGAACTGTAGGGAAGTCATATTTATATCTAAAATACAGTTACAATGCCACGTTGTTCTATTCATAATTATGAACAATGTATAGTTACATCATTGATAAAAAAGAAATGAATACCATATCAATGTTCTAAATGTTGCTCGAAATGCATATATTTATGTATAGGTCAATTTATTTATAGAAGTCGCACGCATGCGTGAAATAATTAATGTTTTTGCAGAAAAAAAATACCAAAATATTTGCAGTGGTCTTTTAAGCTTATGGCAATGGAATTAACTAAAAACTTAAGTCAGTATCAACTGTATTTTTTATAAAACAATCTATCTGGGTCACATATTTAGATGATAGATCCGTATTATAACTAACTGTCAAGTATACATGTAAAGTGACTGAAGAAGGATGTTAAAGGGCATGAAAACGGAAAAAATATATAAAGGGCTTGAAATTGTAACCCGGAAAAGTAAAATATTTTAACGTTTATAGTCATTTTCAAATTTAAAATTTATTCAGATATATTTTATTGTGTGAAATAAAGGCATAAAACAAAAAAAGGGGTTAGGTAAAAAAGCATATTTGTTATTGGCCGTCTTATAAATAAAAAAAACCCGAAAAAAAACCCTAAATCCCAGTTCTTTTCTTTTTGAGGATATATTTTTAAAAATTTTTTTTTTTTCTTTAATCCCGTGACAAATTTTTTTCAAATAATTTAAATTTAAAAAAAAATAATTTATAAAAAACACCCAAATTTCATTTTTCACTTTTGTAAAAAAAAAGTTAAAAATTTATATTACATAAATTTGGGTTTTGGTAAAAATCAATGTTGGACGTTGCCTTTGGTCATATATTAAACATGAATACTTACTCTTCCACATGTACTATTATATAATTTAAAATTGAATACACTTTTATCTACACACCGTTCGTTTTACCATGGTATAACAAAAAAATCATCGATTTCTAAGGAGAAAGAAAAACAAAACACATTCTATTAGTTCACCAGGAATGGTCTTGGATATTGACATATTAAATTAAGTATAAAACTGAATCATACCGTATCTTGACTCTCGCAAACTCCGTGCTATGAACTCATGAAAAAACAATCAAGACATTTGCATTGTGATGAATACGAGATGAAGTCAGTTTGATATGGATTTATTGCATAGTTATGATGGACTAAACAGATTCCCCGCACGTCAGATCCCATCATGATAGACTCATCAAAACCCTATCACATTGTGATTACCGTCCGCCCAGAGAATGTGATGTTAGGCCAAATGAAATAATATTGATTTTTCACTTCTACCATCTTCCCTTTATCTTTCTTAATTAAGTTTAGGCCAAATTTCGTTTTATTTTCTTCGTCTCAATGGGCTATGTATCTTAATAAAATTTGTATGAATGTTGAACTGCCTCAAAAGATATGATACGCTGATGTATTTCGACACAATCATAGTTTTGCATATATTTGACGACTAAGGCCCAATAAATGTGTGGATAAGTTAAAAAATGTTGGTTTGTAATTCCAGAATTTACGACATAAGGTAGGAAAGAGAAAACATGTTTATATGTGAAGACTGACTAAATTGATATCTAGTTGGTAAAAAGCTCTCAATATTCCACTTTATTATCTACTGAATGAAACACAGTCTTTCTAATTATTTGATTTAATATTATTCTTGTTTTTGTTTCCTGATGAAATGATTGTCTAACTTCCGTTGAAGTGAAGGTCTATTACATTTTGAATGAGTATCTTAAAATAGATAATGTCTTTTTGAAAAAAAAACTGTTTGTTTTCTTCTCAACGAAACAAGTAGTCCTAGGAAACGTGAAATTTGAATCTAATATATATTCATTGTCAATGAACTCAATTATCTATCATGAAATAAAGGGGATCTATATCCGAAAAGTCTACAAAAAGCTTTTTAAAAGCCTGCAGTGTGTTTACAAAGAATGTATTATATACTCGAACAAAATGAGCTCATTTTGAAGTTTGTATAGCTAATGTATACGATGATTATAAAGGAACTTTGTGTCTACTTACTTACTCTGTTCATTGTTTCTTTTATTGTTAAGCTAAGTGTACACATGTGTTTTGTGCTGTAGTATAAAACCGGGAGGTTTGATCAAAGAAAATGCGTTTAGATAATACAAACGTTCGTGGGATATTCAGATGATGTTTGAGTGACTCAAGTTAATTAATTTGCATTTGTTGTACATGTAATGTATTGACGTATTTAAGTACACCCATTAATTATACAACCATAGATTTGTCATATGAAAACACATTGCAGTCCCTAACAGGTTGGACTAAAGCCTGGTTTCTAGAATTTCAATATCATCTTGCCGAACGCCAATTGATTGATTAAAAAACTAATTTAACTTGCAGAGCAATAATTTCTCGACCAAGAACAAATTTATCTTGCCGAGCGCAAAGACTCTTGATAAAAAACAAATTAAACTCGCCGAACACCGTGATCTTTGTTTTAAGACTGACTGACACTTGGGCTCGCCTCTCAAACATTTTTACTTCGTGGATAAGGTGATCAAGATCTGTTGTTGTTTTTTTTAAATCAAAATACTAAGGAAAACAAGGCATATTATCATTGGCAATGTCGTGCAAACTATTTTATGTGAAAAAATGAAGAAATTATTTATACGCACGGTCGCATTATTGAATAAAAATATCACATACTTAATTAGCTGAAAATATTTCTTTTTAAAGTAAAATAATTTATAATTTTCTTCAAAGCCTGTATTTATTTGGTTGAACAGTTTTATTATTCCAGCTGCTAATAGGTTCAATAAATATTTGGTAAAATCGCTTGTTAGATCTAGAATTTTACTAATTTACCGTGAACGAAAATTTCGCCCGAAGATTGATCGTGAAATGATAACATAGTACATAAGTTCAACAAATATTTATACAATAAATTTATTTAATGTCGATTTATATTCGTACTTGAATACTGTATAATTATACTTAGGATATATTGCCGTCTGCTTTTTAACTTTGTTCTTTGACGTATTGTGTGTGATAACCTCTGATCCATTTTCAAAATTCCATTCTGCATGTGGGCCAAAGGCCGTTTATCACGGAATGGCACAAACGTGTCCTATTGAAGGTTCTATAATAATTACCGTGTAAACACATTTGCGGATGTTTCCAATCTCAAAATTTTATCGTCACATGTTAAATGATGAATTAAGCTTTAGCCGGTGCTGGGGGTCGTGGACGGTTGCTTGCACTTACAACTTGTGTCAATAAACATGCTCAATCAAACCGAGCCTTTTCAATTTTGTCGTTTTTGGCTTTCTCTTAAGATTCCATTTTTCTCTATTTAATTATATACATTGTGTTCAGTAAAAAGTGAAACATTTAAGCCGTCAATAAGATATTCATGTATACGGACAGTTCGGACTTTTTCGTATCTGTATCACACTTTTGGTATCATGCTGATAAATTTAGCAGAAAAAGCCAATTTATGCTTTATTACATTTTAAAAACTAACGTTTTCGTGTATTTTTTTAATATTGGAATGATGTGATCAAAATGAAAAACAACAGAAACACTTCACATAATCACATAATTATTTTAAATGTAGTTGTCCATCTTTGAACATTGTGAAACTTACTTTTTAAAGTGAGCAATACAAGTATATATAGGAGGGTGGTCCCAAAATGTCGTAGAATACATCAATTTTTCTTGAACCCGACCTCATTACTAAAATACAATTTAACAGATATGTTCATTGGTCATTTGTGAATTAACCTGCTCAGCATTAAAATTATGGAAACAAAGTGATCCCTCGGAAGCATTAATCACAACAAAATTACAAGAGTATTGCAGACTCGGTTTCATTGAGTCTGTACATGAGGGATAATGAATACGTGCAACATCCCTCACGCCCCCTAGCACCGGCTTGAGCGGTACTCAACTCTCAACACTTAAAAGTGCTGGCATCAATGATCCCGAAGGACCAGAAAAATATAAAAGCCAATACTTCTTTTATGAGATTGACTTACGAAATAATCTTTCATTTTATACTCAAAATGACAATTTTTACTTAGGAAATAACCTTTTATAAAGTATATTCTTTTTCAGTTTTATAAACATTTCCCTTCCCTAAATATATTTTCCGCTGTCATATTGTTCATGATTGGTTTTAAGTAATAAAACTCTTGATGTAAATATTGGTATGATAGATAAAACAATTCAACGCTTACTTTCGTATAAAACTTCAACTTAAGTGGTCGCCTATTTGTTGTGAAATTGCTATGTAAATTAAATTGTAAGATAAAATGGAAATGAATGAGATGTACAAACCAATTTAGAACTTGATAGATAACATTGCTGACCATATATAGATCGATATCGGACCAGATGTGAGGTAATTAGATTGTCAACCTAATTATACATTCCATACATGGGGAAAATATCACTCAGTTGTTTCAAGAATTGAACATGTGTAAGATAATAATTGCTCATGCTTAAGATCTGTTTGTTTACAAACGCAGGCGATATTTGTCCACGACCTTTCACTGAGGAGCCAAATATCATTGGACTTTGGCATATGAATTTAGGCAATAACAAAACAATATAAATTTTGAACAAATTTTATAATACCAATTGATACGTTTATACCTGTTCATGCCTTCTTAAATGTTTGGCATTTAGTGTAATCATTTAATTACAAAAACATTTGATATTGCATGTAAATAATTACTTTGCCTACCTCTGGAGGTTAGATAGGAAAAAACTAATAAACATAATGTTAAGAATTTAGTAAATAACTAACAATTTCTTTATAAATATTTTCGCAAAAGATTTAAAACGATTAGGAAAACATAATTATACTAGTATTTAATGGTTTATATAAAGAAGTACTCGTATATTCAAAATGGTACAAAGGTATACAGTAAAACTTGTTTGTCATGGTGTTTGGGCTGCCAGGCAGTGAAGGTCTCCACTTGCAATAATGTCACTCATACATTGATACCTGATGTCACCTGATGTTACTTTTGAACATTTTATTGCTAATCTCATCTGAATGACAGACCACTTTTCTTTAAAGACTTTGACCTTTCGAAAACGTACAAAAAAGAAACAATGGCTATTATAATAGTTTTTTAGTCAAATTGTCTTGTTTCGTACATTTCCTTATTTTGTTTATATTTATGTTTAAAATATGTCAGAGGGCATTAAATATTCTGGAACAAAGAAGGAATAATGAAGCACTGCAAGTTATTAAAAAATATAAATATAAAGTAGTGGACAAAACAATAAATGACGATATTGGGTGGAGGGTTTTACTTTACTTTGACTTTACTGGCAGTTGCTAGGCCTCTCGTACCAAACATTTAGAAACTGCTCTGTGCATTTAATTATTTACTAAATGCTTGCTCCATTATTCATGTGGTATTATTCGAATGAATACATCTGTTGGTATTCTACTACAACTTCATAATTCATATGTCTCTAATGATTATCTTAACATTTATATATCCCGGCGCGCGTTCCATGTTTGTTTTCGTATGAAAATAGCTCTGTATATAATTTATTTCACTGGATATAATTTATTTCACTGGATGCATTAATTAAATATTTACATGTTAACAAAGTATTAATATTAGAAATATTTATACAAAGGAAATGTAAATATAATTCTAATTTACCTGTGGTAGAAAAACAAGAACGCTTAGAAACGCGCGTCAGCTGACGACTAGGTCTAATTACTTTTATTGTCATTCTTCCGAAAAAAAACTTAGTTCCCTGCATAACAGCTGCTACCTATTGTAGAAGCTTAAATAACCCATACTATATTCTCATGCTATCTCTTTGTAAAATATGTTACCAGAGTTTTAATACAATAAAATTCACCACTGGTGAAAGAAATTTGAAAGAATCACATGGTGTTTCTGGCAATCCTCGTTACAACCCTCGATCCCCTAGGTTCGAATATTTCGATCCGAACCGCAACATATGATCATGACATATTATATTAGTATGTTATTTTAAAATGATCCCCTTTGAGCTTTCAGATATGAAGCAACAAGAACATATTGTTCTATAAATAGGCATTATTCATATATAAAAACAACAACAACAAACACCATATAAATACAGCATAGAGAAAAATACAAAGAACTCTTTTTTGGTACAGACTGACAGTAAAACATAATTATGATTGACAACTGTGATTGAGTAACAATAAAGGGGAATGTAATTACCATTTCTCGTGGAGGTCTAAGGGGACGTGATGTGATATCATCATCTAATAATACGCCTGCATTGATTTTCAGGCAGTATAAGGGATTCTGTGGGAAAAGTTACTCTTAGCGGCTACTCTTTCATTACGTTACAATGGTGCCAGTGCTAATTTGTATAAACTAACGAAAAATGATAATTAACATTGGAACATTTTATAGCACATTTCTTGCTCAGTATTTTTCTGGGCAGAATATTAGCTAGGACACATGTTGATGTACCTTTAATCATTTTGCGAAAAACCTTTATTTCAAAATGAATAAACACATCGGCTTCGTTCTTGTCTTCATAAAGCAGAGTCTTAAATCAATTACTTATTCAAGACTTTTCTTTTCTTGTTTTATTTTCTACTTCATACTGCTTCATCAAAACTGTTGAAATGTTTCAAAAATTGTTCCTTTAAACTGAACAAGATATGCCTGTAAATTGAAATGTAGGGCTACAGTTTAATACTTAAGCTACTTCTATACTTTCATCTCGTGATTTAGATACAATTATTTCTTCGTTTTTGACATTAAAGACAGCTAGATATGTAAGTTCAGTCAGCAAGTAATTGTTTCTTAAATACACTGTGAAAGCTTTATGACAATTTGATGAAAGGAGTTTGACAAGGAACAATACTATCTCTAGAATGTCACCTCATGTACATAATGTGACATCCGCGATTACATAGATACATTTAACGTGTTTATAGACATGTACCTTTAAAGAAAGGTTTTATTTCCTTATACCGGTGAGGCATTTAAAGTGGATTGGTCTACAATGGGCACCTTTTCCATTAGTATTTCAAATAAAATATTTTTGGAAACAAAAATGTTGATAAAGTTCACCTGACATTATTTTACCATTTTTTTATGAAAAAAATAACATGAATCTGGAGGCGTGATGCTTAAATGGTTTAATATGAAAGATATATGGTGGTATTAATACTTGACTTGAAAACACTTAATTATCCACTGTATATAGATATATTTTATATTGGATCATGTATCTCACACTTGCAAGAAAAAAAAAACATTTATAAATAACTCTTTCATGATTTGTTTATATTTGATTCTAAAAAGTACTTATTATAGACCTTCTATTACAGATCAATTCACTTTAATTCAGCATGTTCGCACACACTTCATGATCTAATCGGTTCATCAACACAACAGTGAAAGTATCTTTATGTTAAACTTTACTACTACAATCATACAAACACCTCATTACATAATCGCTTTTAGAAATCCCCCCCCCCCACACGCACACACAGTTACACAAACACGTATTGCTCAACCCTTATCGTTCTGTAAATGACGGTTGTGAGCATTTGGCCAAGCGGGTGTGGAAGTCGTATAGCCTGACCAAGCTTTTTGTTAATTAAATCCCTTAATATCAGATCAAATGAACCATTCTAAACTCAAAGCAACTCATTGAGTGCCAATTGATTTATGAAAATATTATTTAAATTATATTAAAAGATTCACGTACAAAGGTATTACATGGTTACAATCTATATCGTATCTTCATATCTTCATTCATACTACTCCGAACAACTAATTTCGAAATCATATTCTTTACACATAATTTTAACAAACCCTTCCTTCATAATACTCGGAAACGGACAGATTTTCTTTGTATTTTCAGTTTAAACAATGGCCAACGTAACGGATATTGAAGAGATAGTTAAGACATGGGCCTGGAATAGTTTTGTCAAAACACGAGGCAAAGATTATCAGAAACTGAAATTTGACGAAGTTAAGATGGAGGTCAACTGGTCAAGGGTGCGCTTCAATCCGTCACCACCGGAATACTCGGACACCAGTATGGTCGATCAGCCGAATTCTAAAATTGTTTTCACGTCGACATTTGAGAACAATACAGACGCCGAACAAGAGCATTCCTTTACAACAGAACGCACAACATCCTGCACTTCAACGACATCCATCTCCAAAGGGTATACGCAAGGTTTTAATCTGGAATTAAAACTGGGTCTTCCAGATGATGTAGCAAGTGCCACAGCTGGATTTGGACGAGAAACAACAGTCGAAAGCACTGAAGAAACAACTAAAGAGCAGACAATAACATGGGCAGTTGACAGTAACATTAAGGTTCCACCAAGACACAAAACAACTGCTAAGATGGTAGTGAAGGAGAAGGAATTTAACGGAAAGTTCAAATTGAAAGTTAACGTACGTGGAATGGTAATAGTAACATTCACAAATTTAAAGGAAAACAACTGTTACATTCATTCGTCTGAAGGAGATATATCACAAATTCTCAACGATGCCAAAGGATATACGGGCTACAAGATTGAGGGTAAAACTGCTATCTTTGACATTGAAGGAAGTTCCAAATTCCGATTCGGAGTTGAACAAAGAGTGAAAATAGACGAAGAACCATTGTAATGTCTCTTCAGATGTGCCATATGAACTTCTACAAATGTAAGGACCATATTAATGTGATATAATAAAAAGGTGATACATAGTGCCTGTAGTGATCTTATTTATCATAATCAAAGTCACTGAAATCGTGAATTTCATGAAAAATATGAAACGTCACCGAAAATATATAAGTGTGTTGCACAAAATTTTACAAATAACCAGATTATTTACTTAGAAGTGCGTTTTTTATAGATTATTTATGAAAATAAGTGAAACATAGGACCTGTAGTGATCGGATTTTAATTCATATATTTACCATAATCAAGGTAACTGAACTCATGAATTTCATGAAAAATATGACACATCATCTCAAATATCAAAGTGTGTTGCAAAAATTTTACAAATAACCAGATTATTTACTTAGAAATGCGTTTTTTTTGTAGATTACTTTTATTTGGTTTTCTTCATTTTAGTTCTCTATTCGTTTACATGTCTGCTTATAAAATTGTTGCTGTGCAATTTGAGGATTTCTTGCAAGAAATAGCTCTTCTCTCTTTGATGACACAAAGATTAAACTTACATTTATCATTTTTATATTATTTTTGTACATGTATTATTTACAGAAATGTTGCACTTTACATTTCTTGACAAACAAAATCAGTGATATTGTTAAACAGTATATACACTTTTATTTTGATTTTGTAAATAAATTTCATATTGCTAAGTATTTATTTCTGAAATCCTGAAAATGGGCTGATCCGTAGACAGCAATGAAATCAAAAACATATATTTAAAAAAAATCGTAGACTTGAGTTTACTGGGTTTGGTTATGAGATAAAACCTGTATAAGATGGAATACATCTCATGCCCCCATTCACCGATTAGAATGGTTTGAACACTAAAAGTATTGAATAGGAACAGAAAAAAAACACATACATGAAGTACGGCTTCCAGTAGCCTTATTGCTCAACGTCTACAGTATTTACAGTGTCGACTTAGTTGCTTTTATTAATTTAGTTTTGTTCTCTCTTGGGAAAACTAGAATCATTGCTCGAACTTTGTCTATATGGCTTTAAGTTTCCAAAAATAGGTTTGCCACTTGACATTTAAGATTATAATATTAGTTAATGTTATTGTTTTTGTAAAATATTTTAAACATCTCTACGTCTAGTGTATAATAAAGGTTTTGTGAACATCTAATGTGAAACATTCTATTAGTATACTATTTTCCTTTGTCCATCATCATCGCTGATGATGCATTTTTTCGGTTCTTCAGACCATTTATTGCTATACAATGTATTTTTATAACTAATGACTAAACATTTAGGACGAGCTTTGTCTCGGTGACATTTACCAACACAGCTTATATGTACATTACATTAGTTTATATAAATTTTGCTGTAATTTTTCAACATTTTTCATTCTGGTAATGGCTTGTAAAGAACAAATCATGCATAGGCCTATAGAAAAGAGAACGTTTAATAAGGTGTTTAAAAACTTTGTATTGAATTCGGTACAAAACATATACTTTTGATCTCAATTCAAAGATTTAAACTAAGACGTATGATTTATGCAATGGTAGAAACATTGTTTTATCTGTTTATTGTAAATAGATTAATATGAAGAGCTAAATGATTAACATTCCATATAGAAAGAAAAGATCGCCCAAATATTTTCGAAAAATCGAGATGATTATCAGACGTATGAGCTGGTTAAGATAGGTAGGGGATCTTCTTCAATAGTTACCAAATATGAGGTTTGGTACGTTTACGTCATCGTCTACAAAAAAAAAACACCAAAAAAAACGCCAAAGAAACATTGGTAGCTCGAAACATAGCCTACATAAACATAATATATTTTACTTCAAAACTTCAAAGATGAAAAATGATCTATTCATTTGGACAATGTGGGTGTAATAATCTATTTGTGTATGTCATTCTAAAGAATTTCATTTTATCCTTTGATAGGTTCGCTAGAATAAAAATGATTGAAATCTGAGTAATAGTTTTATTAAAAATACTTATACATTGCAGTACATTTTAGTGAAAAGAATGAAATCAATAATTTATTTTAAAACTGATATGTTTTGACAAGAAATTCGAAACTAATTTGACATTTTGTTTATCATTATTACCTATGTTTCTGGAAAAGGAACCTTTTCTAACTCATAAATTCAACTTAATTAACATTTCTTTAATCAATATTTCATTTTTAAATGATTAAACGATAAGGTATTAATAGTTAAAACCCTGCATAATAGATAAGAAACTAAAATTAACTCCTCGAGTGACCAATGAAATAGAGGATATTTCATCATATTTGTTTAGTTCAGTGCAAGATCGGAATATATTTCACCGAGTGAGCACCAAAAGGTATATTTCACGAGTGGCGCAGCCACGAGTGAAATATGAACTTTTGGTGTTCACAAGGTGAAATATATTTCGATCTTACACTAAACTAAACAAGTTTTCTTTTTATTATATGCAAAGAAACGTTTTAAAAAGACATTAAACCTAATACTGAATGAAAAGCGCGCCAAATAATAATACAACGGGACGTCATTTACGACGTCACGTCATTAAGTTGGTACCCAGTACTGTGCACGCTGGTATTTCACTGAAACAACGTAAGGGGCTTAAATTCAAAACAGTGAAATTATCAAAGTGGTAATTTCACTGTTTCAAACAGTGAAATTACCAGTTTTATATCACTGATATATTTCTATAAACCACCGAAAAGCATGTAATAAATGTACCAAACTAACTAGTATTAGTTTGGGTTAGATTATTAACATTTAAAACTTAACTCAACATTCCATTCACGGGTTAGAGTACCCATATTTCAAATTCGAACAGTTGTCCGGTTAATATCAGCCTTTTTAAGAACGAGTTCTATTTAGGGGACTCAGCACGGCAGACCCAGGCATTTCTTTATCAGACAATAACATTTTGACAGAAATTATAATTTTAGGAATTTTCATCCTTTGGAACTATAAGTTCGATTCCCTGAGTAGACAACTATAAAATTATATTGGCTGGGTTTTAAATTTTGCACCCTAGATAAGTTATTTAATGTAACAGAAGAGAAGTTGAACTGTTGAGACTTTCAGGTGGACAGCACCTTAATATTTGAAAATGACCAGCTTGAAACAACAGTGCATTACAGTTTAAGTTAAAAAATAAATCTATTGATTTTTTGCAGGAAATGTTTTATTTGTTCATTTTCTAATCAATTTGGCCACGCAGAATAAGTGCAGAAACGAACATAATATATCAAAGTTGGTCAATGTCAATTTTATAAATTGTCTAGTAATTTTCCGTACAAGTATACCTAATGCATGATATGCACTGTTGTATACATGTATTTTTTCAGGCCTAAATATTTGCAAAAAGTAAAAAGAAAGTCTGTGGGAGTTACCGTATCCTGACGTGTGCAGTGTTACTGTGAACATTGTATAGACTGACAGTGTAATATAAGTATGATTGACAAGTGCAATTGGATAATTAGAGGGAAGGGGGCAATTCCTGTTTTCTAGATGAGTCTCGGAAGACATAAACTGATATTATCATGAATATTATCATGAATTATCTTTGAATTATGAGAGCTCATTGATTTTCCGTGTAACAGGGTCTGCGAGGTAATCCTTAGATTATATTAGAAAAGACTGTTCCATTTATGTTGTGCACAGAATGATAATGATATGGATTTTATGACAAGAAAAAATGTTTAATCATCAAAAATAAGTAAATATGCTTAAAACAATAAACGATCTGCATTGCTTATTCATTGAGAACGAATTACATTTCTCGACTTATAAGCTAATTTATGGTTATCAACCGTTTATTAATACACTTGTTACTATATATAGTAACAAAATTGCCTATGATTTCAACTGATTATGAGTGTCACGTGACCTATTATGAGTTTGCGGCCCGGGGCCGAGAACTAGTTATCAGCCCGCAGAACATGTGCACGTGCACAAACTGAAACAATGACGTCATATTTTACGTCATCAAACAGTTAACTGTAAAAGTGAAAGTAGGTTGTCAGCACGAATCGCTTTATTTTTATTATGAGAGCTTAAGCGTATTTAGTACGAACACATTTTTGTTTCTATTGAAATTTGAAGAAATAATACGACAAATTCATTCCGAAAAAAATGAAAATAAAACCTGCTTCTAGATTCTACTGCTTTGAACACACAAACAGTGAACATCTCTGTACAGAACAGTAGAAGAGTAGACAAGAATTTCAACGAAAGAACTTTGTTGTTTTTTTTAATTGCTACTATTAGATCTACCAAGTGTATTAAAGACATTAACACACGTCAGAGTAGGGCCGGAAGGTGATAATCGGCCCTGAATGAATAATGGCCCTCGGGCTAAAGCCCTCGGGTCCATTATTCATTTTGCGGGCCGATTATCACCTTCCGGCCCTCTCCTGCCGTGTATTAACCTCTTACTAATGTATTTCTGCATGACGTCATAAAAGGCCAATTCCAAAGGCTAATTAAGATCTAACTTATTTCTGCTTCATTTGAAACAGAAAGTATTTCCAGTTACTTCAGGTGAAAAAAAGAAGAAAAACTCAGCGTAGTCCCTTTAAGGTGATGGATATTTGATTCCAGTTAACTGTAATTTTATAAGCATAAATTAATAGTACTAATTTCTTTATAGTAAGGAAAAAAAGCAAGTTGCCAGTAAGTTAAATGTCGATGCTTTAATGCTAAGATATGAAAAGCCGTGTTGAATTGATGCTATCAAATATATCGATAATTCTACGAGTGTATCACATATTGTACTTTCCCATTTTTCTAATCGTCAAAAGCGTGTATTAAAATGGAAGTGTGTTTAGTTTTTATGATTATATATAGAGCTTTTTATATAGCCTTTTTTGATGTCCTTTTCAACTTTAAAAGATCGCTTTTGTATAAGGTATGCATGTTCCATTTGTTCATCTTTCCAAGCCAAACAAACATCCAGTATATTGTTATATTTACCTATAGTAATTATGATAGTAAATTAAGACAAGAGAAATATAAAGCTTATCTATTTTTACCTGTAGAATGATAGAATGAGAGACACGCGGCGGCGGCTAACATTCTTCCGATTAAAGAAATAGTTTCATCTAAACTGAAACAGCTGTGTTTTGCTTTCATTGTTTATGTAAATGATTGAAAGAAAGGGGAAATAAACAATTGCTATTAAGTAGATAGTTCAAAGCATTTTTGCATGTTCTAGAATAATATGAAAATGAAATTGTTGATTTTGTAATCAACACAACACAAATACATACATGTATAATTAACTTTTGAATAATTCAAGAAAAAATAAAGTGTCTAGTATTTTGAAGTAACGTTATGTTGCAAAATACACATTTAGGAAAAACCCACCGTCTCACATTTCCATCTATTGCAGACGAGCCTAGACACCAAAATTAATACAGTAAAAACTGCACAAGATGTCTTTTTAGGAATGTCCTTGATGATTCTAGAAATTCTTGAGCATTTTTCTAAAAACTGCATTCATACAAGCAAATTTACTATGTACAATTATAACATAACTTTATTAATGTCAAGATCGTAATCTTGTTTTAGGGCCACATGAGTTTACAGCGTTACCCCAATTTATCAGGTAACTTTAATCTGGTCCCGTTTTTCGCTTTCTGGTGGCCTTCATTATGATGTCATCAAGTTATACCGTCCTCTGGTGAAGTGAAGCAATA